AGCGCGATCGCTGGCTGGACCCAGGGTATGTTGCTCCGCAGCCGCAGGGCGTGGTCACAGCCAGCAGGTCCACCCAGCTCAGGTCCCGGAGCAGCAAAGCTGCCCTGATCCCTGTGCTATGAGTCCTGCAGCCGCTCGGGGCCTGTGTGCCCCTGGCTACGGAGCTGGGCTCACACCTTCGTACCGCCGGCCTGGCACAGCCAAGGGGTCTCCTCGCTCGCAGCGTCTCTCCAGACCTCCCGCCGCTGTCGCGTGTCTCCCCCCTCGTTCCTCAGGGGACACTGCAGCCCTCCTGCCGCCGACCGACACAGAAGCTACGATGCTTCCCCGCTCGCCCTGCCGCCAGGGACTCCCACGGGAGACCAGGTGCATCAGTCTCCATCGGCTCCCTTGGATGGTGTTGGCCGCTGGGTGCTCGGAGCGCGTCTCTCCAGACCTCCCGCCGCTGTCGCGTGTCTCCCCCCTCGTTCCTCAGGGGACACTGCAGCCCTCCTGCCGCCGACCGACACAGAAGCTACGATGCTTCCCCGCTCGCCCTGCCGCCAGGGACTCCCACGGGAGACCAGGTGCATCAGTCTCCATCGGCTCCCTTGGATGGTGTTGGCCGCTGGGTGCTCGGAGCTGGCGGCACTGCAGCTCCCCGGCTGGGAACTCTTAGGGTGATTCTGCGTCTCCTGCTGGAAGCTGAGCCCTCCAGCCTGCGAAGGACGCGTTTCGCTTGCCGAGAGTTTGCCAGGGAACGCTTGAAGCCCCACTTGGGCGCTCTGCATCGGCACAGCAGGGCCTGGCTTGCACAGGAGTTAGCTGCAAATTCCCCCGGCCGGTCAAGCCCAGTCGAAATCCACACAGCCCGTCTGAAACTGGCACCACTGATTCCCCATTGTGCTGATGCAGGGCGGCAGCGGGACCACGGACAATCCGATAGTGGGAGATGCAGCTCGGTGCAACTCCAGGGCCTAGAACATGTCCCGGGAAAACCCGACTCCTGCGCCAGTGAGTGTAGCTCTCTGGACAGCAATGGGGCAAAGCTGGCATCCCGCTGTGACGGCGCGTCGGGTCCAGACTCCGCCCGCCGGTAGAACAGAGGGGTTATTGCTTCTCCAGGATACAGCACAGCACAGACGTGGCTACAGGGGTCAGGGCCAGGATGCCTGAGCCCCCTTGGGATGGGTCCCTGGGCCCCTAGATTCCAGCCCCTCCTTAGTCTGTTTCCTTCATGGCTCCAGCCCAAGACTCCTCGCTCCCAGACCCTGCCCCAAACCAGGTGTTCGTCTCCCCTCCCTCCCTTTGCCTCTCCCCTGGGGAAGAGCCTCGTTCTCAGGTGTCAGGTGTCCGATCCACGTGTGGGTGAGTCAGTGGGAGGCGCAGCGCAGTGCAGGGGGACACCGGACACAGAGCAGACACCCCCCCACATCACACCCGGGCTGTGGGCCAGATGCTCCCCCCGATTGGCAGGG